GTATAAATGACGGTTGGGTGGGCTACGTTTTAAAGATATATTCAGTTTTATGGGGTGGGTTCATTTTAGTTTGGGGCTTTTTTTAATGGGGTATCTTTGAAATTGGGCTTGTGAGCCGGTGTTGTAGCTAAATAAGATGCACAAGGGTGCAGCTTAGACCAATTGGAATTGTGAGAAATGTAGTTACCCAACTTCTTCATGTGGGCCCCACAATTAGGCCCAAATACGAAGGAACACAAGAAATGAAAAGGGAGGAAACACGTGATATGATTTAAAGGACCAGCTGACTAAACACAATTCATAAATGAGACAAACACAATTAGAAGCCGACTAATGTGTAATTGATTACAAAAAATCAATAAAAAAATTACAACAATATAATCATAGTAATACCTTTAAACTCATCTCATCCTTTACTTTTTCTTTGGTGTCTTTATTCCTCCTCTAATGTACATAGACGTTAATTTGATATTTCATATCACATTGATACAAAATTGTGATCGCAATGTTTGTAATCTTGGAAGGTTAAGATTTTTTAGCTAGCTCATTAGTTGTCTAAATTTATATTTTATCATGTATGATATGGATTGGTTATCACAACGAATTGATTTCCCGTATCTTAACTAATTAAATTTTAATGAAACAATTTTATTTAATTGATTCTTTTTTTTCCACTTTCATATGGCCAATCAAGTATCGAATAAATTTTTTCCTCAAAATTTTAATACAATGTAGTGAATTTACCTTGTTTTTAATCCAAAAAAAATAAAATAAATCATATTCTAGTAAAAAAAATATTTTTCTCGTAGATTATTTTTTACTTAATTGAGTTTAGCATAAATCAGTTTGTAGATTATTTTTTACTTAATGGAGTTTAGCATAAATCAGTTTACGATAATTAAGACTGCGTAATTATAATTAATTTACTATTCAAAAAACAAAATTGATACTTATAATTGCAAATTTCTATAATTCAATTTCGTTTAATCAATAGAATTTGTAAAATTAAAGGTTGAAGCTGATTATTACAATAAATTAGTAAACTGCAACAAACAAATAAAAATAAAAAATAATCAAATAAATAAAAATTCATTATCCCTTATAATTCATTCAACGGTATCTTTTACCCAATATGAACTAGCAAGAAAAAAAAAAAACCCAAGAAAAAGGTGTCATACCAAAATTACCCTGACCAAGGCAAAATGAAAAACGAGAAAAAAATATTCAATATATTGTGGTCACCAATAAAAATATGAAATTGATTGACCATATTTTATTAACGTTTTGAGAAAGAAAATATTATTCAATATTTGATTGACCATATAAAATGGAAAAAAAAAAAAAAATCAATCAATCCATATCATTGTGATCACAATTTTAATTAGTTAAGATTCGGGTATTACTTCATTGTGATCACCAATTTAGCAATTTATATCATACGTGATATGAATATAAAATTTGACAACTAATGAGCTAAACAAAAAATCTTAACCTTCCAAGATTATAGATATTGTGATCACAATTTCATATCAAACTTGATATGAATATAAAAAATCTTAACCTTCCAAAATTACAGATATTGTGATCACAATTTCATATCAAACGTGATATGAATATTAAAAAATCTTAACCTTCCAAAGATTATTACGATGGTGTTGGCTAAATTAGTGGAAATTATGCTTCAAAGTTGTTGTTTGACTTTTCTATTTTTAACATGCTTAGGATTTCCAGTTTATTTTCCTAAGACTTAGGAGTAAGTATCGTAACGTGGGTAGTTTAATATTCCCACTTTCTTTGCTTTCTTTTAGCTTTAGTCAGTTGTAATGGCCTTATATAAGGCTTCTTTATCTTCATTAATATATGCAAGCAATATCTTATTATTCTATTAATTTACTCTAATACTTTTATCTGATGGTGGTTGTACCAAAGCATAAATAATGGAGTAGTTATGTTTGTACGAGTAATAAGATTATTACGATGGTTGGTTTTCTTGGCGCGGATGAAGTCGCCTTTAATTTTGTTGAATCTCCTTTTTCCGATTGTCTTCTGTCGTCAACACTCCTGTTTGTGCCCTTTCCCATCCTTTTCTCTGATTGCGTTTTTTTGGTTGGATTTATCAATATCAATTTCTAGGCCTATTAAGATTTGGATTTATAAAATTTTTGTTTAATTATTTTATTCGATTCTAATTTAGTTCAGATTTCAAAGCTTTTGGCGCTAATACAATTTCTGAATATTTGTGCCATGATTTGATCAACTGTTAAATCATAATTACTAATTTCTGGGATTTGTAAAGGATTTGATCAAATTATATTTATTGATATTGTTTATAGTTAGCAATCCCTTGATTTACTCTTTAGATTGAATGTTCCTAGACAAGTACTCTGATAGTCTGATGTATCTAGTCGTATTATATTGCTTACTCATGTACTATATATACCCATGGAATCACATCAATATAATTAAGCTTTCCAACATTCTCTTTCTCATAACTCTATCATGGTATCATGAGCTTTTGATCCATCTTTTCTTGCTTTCGCTATAACCATGGCTACACTATCAAAACCTTTTGCCGATGCCGACAAATGACAGTGACCATATTCGTGCTCCCTATCCTCTCGGAAAGCTTCAAACCCAAATCAAATTTCCGCTCAACTCTTTTACCACCCCGTATTTCATATACCAAGAGATGCTAATTATCTTTTTTTTTTCTTTTCGACACCCTATAATTTGTCTACCAAGTGTTGTCGAACATAAAATCAATTCTCCAAACCACCCCCCTTATGGAAAAACAATCACCTTTTGGCCTACGTAGTCTATCTACCAAGTGTTGCCAAATATAAAGTCACTTCTCCAAACTTTTATAGAAATTCTCAAACTCTTTTCTTTTAATGATACTAAATGTAATTCTTCTCCAATAAAAATGATCAAAATTTCATCCCCTCTATATCTCACTTCCCCTCTTCCCCTCCTAGAGTTAAAATCCTACTTCACGCATGCAATTCCTCCTCCTTCAAAAAAAAAAAAAATCTCTTTTAACTCCCAATTTGGTACGTACAACTCTCAATTGAAGAACCACCAACATCTTGAAGTGGCAATCAACAATCAAGAAGAACATTCATTTTACAAGATTGTACTTTCCCTTTAGCCGTCCATCTTGCGGGGGCGTGTAAAGGATTTGATCAAATCATATTTATTGATATTGTTTTTTTTTTTTTTTCACAAGAAGAAGAATATTATCATTAATAAATAGCCATACGGCATTTACAACAATAATAAAGATTTGTAAACCACAGATCTAGAGAAAATAACATAACTTTTACAATCAAAATCATAACTAATTTGCATATTGGGCATAGCTCACACTCCACCGCTTCAAACTTGACGCGAGTAGTGTTTTTCGATGTCTTTGCATCTTTCCAAGTAGAGACCTTCGCAATCTGCGCTGATGTTTTGATCGTAGAGTTGATGACGAACCCTAAACCCATATGCATCCGAATCACCTTCTCAATTATTATTAAAACCCTAAAATTAAAATTCTCATCCATAGATGAGAATCAAAATCCCAAAAAATTGGGAAAAACCCAAAAAAATTGGGACAGACTCTCACAAACGGAGAGAACAAAACAAAGCAAAACCAATCAAATAACAAAAAGGCAAATTAAATTGAAGAAAAGGGTCAGAAATAGTCTAATTTCCGAAGAAATTAGACTATTTCCGGCCTAAACGGCCAAGAAAATTAAAACCCTAAAGAGAGGAGAGAGAAGAGAGAAAAGAGAGAAGAGGGAGGCGGCTTTAGATATCCCTTATTCTTAGCAATCCCTTGATTTACTCTTTACATTGATAGTCAAAGATATCCCTTATTCTTAGCTAATGTTTCTAGATAAGTACTCTGATGCATCTAGTCGTATTATATTGCTTACTCATGTACTATATATACCCATGGAATCACATCAATATAATTAAGCTTTCCAACATTCTCTTTCTCATAACTCTATCAGGATTTGATTATAGATTATTTTTATTTTCTCGTCTTTTTTTACTCTAAAAAAAAAAAAACTATTGCTTCAAAGTTCAAACTCTTAGCTTTTTATTTATTATTTTTTTAATTTTTTATTCTTGTAATTAGTGTGCATGATGGATTTTTGTTGTGAATCAATTGTGGGGTATTATATATTTCACAACTTCCATGATACATAATCAAGTTGTGAAATTATTGCATATCCATTATGTGTCATGAATGTCGAATGTGAACTTAGCTTTCTTGCTTTTGGTTGCTTTGATTTTTCTTCATTTCGGTGGTATGATTTATATAATGTGAGTTTTCTTCATAAGATGTATGACCTGGTGTGATCTGAGTCACCCGACTCAAGCATGACCCAACCCGAATAACATAGGTTACGGCATTAACCCAAATTGGGCCGACTCGAGTTGACCTAACCCACTCTTACCCAATCCGTTTACCCGAATTGATAACTCTATGTCCTACTAGGATCGTTCTATCTATTCCAAAAGGCTCTAAAAAATCGGTCATATCGAGCATTCTTAGTAGGAAGTACATAATTCTTTTATTTGTTTAATTTCCTTGTGAAAAGCCACATGATGAGCACAAGGAAAAGGCGATGAGGAAGAATTGCATGTAATTTTTAGTACTTATAAGCTAGCTTAGCAAGAGCAAGTGCCTAAAATGCAGCAAATTCAAATGTTCCTAAGTTAACTAATCAATGAGAGTGGAGAACATTTTCCTTCTATAAGCTTTGGCTCTAAACAAATAAGTTAATAAACAATACTTCTCCTAGTGTTCCTAAGTTTACTAATCAATGTGAAGGGAGTACTAGACCAAATTCAGAATTTAAAACTTGGGTGTTAAAACAGTCTTAACAATGCATGAATTTGTTTAATTTTTAGCTTAATTTGATATTGATTGTTTATCCATTACCTTTACCCTTAGACCTTAAGGCCATATATGGTTCATAAAAACCTTCAAACAAAATCTTTAATAATGATTTCTAGCTCCATGTTAATCTCATTATATTAGCACTTTGTCCCACTTTTAAATAATTCTACCAAAAACATGGGAAAAGATATATGACATTGTTAAAGGCCGATTATATATATTTAGGATCTGTTCACTTCATCTTAATTTCAGCGTAGTTCAATTCAACTCCAATCAGTTTAGTTTAGTTCAGTTCAGTTTCTCATAATCTCATCCATCAAATGTTAGAATTTCCACCCACAAAAAATCAGAAACAAGAGAAGGTTTGAAGTAGTGAAGTTCTTCATCACGAATTTTCTGGAAGAGCATCCACGAAATTGATCGTTGCCGGAATTTCGACCGTCCGATCGTGCTGAAAATTGGTCAGATTGTTGGAGACACATAGATCTTCAAATTCAACGGTTGGATCGTTCATTTGAGCTCAGGTTTGTTCGTAACTGTAGCTGGACACAGGGCCACGAAATTGGGGTTTTGGTGGGTGGGTGACAAGTTTAGTGTTTGATTTCGTTTTTTATTTATTTATTTATTAGTTTAATGGTACATAAGATCTAAATTTCAGATTTTATATCCTTCTTGCACTTAATTTCTTCAATTTAAAAAAAATTCTCAATGAATTATACTAATACGCCATTATTCTCTTTCTAATAATTGCAGTTTCAAAGCATAATCAATGGTATCAACTACCATTCTTGCTACTATTATCATCTTGATGATCCCTCTAAATTGTAGAGGAACGAATTCGGCTGTAAATGACAGCGGCGGTGGTGATGAATCGCGGTATTTTTGTGGGTTGATATCCCAAATATCCGTGCTCGGAAGTCAAATGCCCTGAGCCTACCGATGGAGCTCCCTGCTGGTGTTATCAGGGGGATTATTGCGGCCATCATAGTAAAGAAGAATGCACAAAGGCTTTCAGGACCGGATGTAAACCTTATCCTACTGCTTATCGATTTGCTTTTATCTTTGGCTTACCTTTAGCTTTATGTTTTTGCATATTGTGGTTTTATATTGTACGGAGTAGCATATTATTCGGTCCGTGGCTTCCGTGCAAAAAAATTTGAACAAGTAAAATAAAGATTTGTATTATTCGGTCTACTTATGTTAGGCCTTTTATTAGCTGTTTGTATCATAGTTTCCTTTCCTGTGTTGTGTTAGTACTTAGTAGTTCGCATACTCTTACCATGCTTACTTGTAATTTTATCTTACCATGTTTGTAATAAGTGTTGTTTTACAATAGACTCAATAAATGACATCCTCACATCCATCCTTCAATTTCTCCCTTTATACAGGTTAATTAGACCTCATACAAGTATATAACATGTTTGCTATTCCTTTATACAGGTTAACTACCAGGATCATGCAATTTAGGTGGTAGGTTCTCATGTAAAATATAAGAGCCATGCTTCTTCACTACCAAATTTTCTAATTCCTTATTATTATGATTATTGATTAGGGGATTTTTATCCACCAATCACCGTCTGACAAGTGGACCAACCAGGTTCCGCCACGTGTCCTTCACGAAGGCCAATAGGAGCCTGCCACGTGTCAATCACAGATACGTCCTCTACGGACCAATCGAGGCACGCCACGTGTCCACCCATGCCAAATGGGAAAACCGGCCAACAAGGCCCAATCCTGTCTAGAGGCCCGGTCAGCCCTAGGTTTACCCTAAACCTAGAGAGTGGCACGCTTCTCAAGACTATAAATACTTAATTAATCCTCATTAATTAAGCAATCAAGAAATCAAGAAAAGATCAGGCAATTGAGAGGCAATTGATCAAGCGATTAATCTCACCTGAAGAACAGAGAAGAACAGAAACATTACGGAACACTAATAACCGGCTAATCTCGCTAACAAAGCAGATTACCAACATTAAACACTCTCACCTAGAGAGGTCTTATTACTTTAATTTCCGTATTAATTACTCCTTAATCAGGTACTAACTTGACCGTTGGAGGCGGAGCTCTCAGGAGTCTCCGTTATTTTGCAGGTACAGGCGTCCGGTTCCAGTCTCGGAATTGTAACTCTCCCGCAGGACATCAGAAAACCCCGAAACATTTGGCGCCGTCTGTGGGGAGAGTACTTCAGAGATGGCATCCAAGTCTGTACCGACTCCTGAAGAGAGGCGTCCCCTAAACGACCCTCAAGTTCAGTCGGACCATGACACCGAAAGTGAATTTGAAGTGGAAACTCATACAGCTCCAGACGGGACCCTAAGGGCCCGACGTACCCGTCATACCGAAAGGAGGGAACGGGAGCATCTTCAAACAGGAAGCGAGCCAGCAGGCGCACCGCCTGCTCGGCAACAGCCGACTGATGGGTTTGCTCCCATCACAAGGAACGAACTCATGACCTTCATGAGGGACTTCAAGGGAGAGATTCAAGAGTTGATCAACAAAAAGCCGCCTGCTTCAGTCAAAGAGCAGTCGGCCAAAAAACCTTCCACTTCACTGAAGAGGAAGCCAGTTCAAGGGCGAGAGGCGACTCCTCATCCTAAATCCAAGAAGCGGGAGCCACCTGCTCTTGATTTCACAAAATTCCGTTATCCTACGGGAAATAGGAAACCGGTTCGTCATATTCAGGCGGACGGGTCAAAGCAAACGTTCACAGATGCTCGGCTACTGCTAGAGCAGAAGAAGAGTGACTGATTGTCAGAGTCGGCTTCTACTTCAAATTTTCAAGACAGTTTGCGAAATGCCTCGATGAGGCATACTCAGTCGTACCATGAGAGTCAGTCAGGCGGCACCTCCCGTCAGTCCGGCTTTCATAGTGCCCAGGCGGTACCAAACTTACCATTTGTGCCGCAACAACAGTATTTTATGCAGCCACCTCCATTTGGTGGACCTGCAGCAAAAAACGTCCAACCTATGGACTGGCAGCTACGGTTGCTTAGACTTGGTGAACAGCCGTCGACCTTCTCCAAGGAAATTACTGAAGCCGCTCAGCCGGCCAAAGTAAAAAATGTACTAGTAGGCGCCTATGACGGCACTACTAACCCAGAAGACCATCTGATGGCATTCACCAACCTGATGTACCTTCAAGGGTTGGATGATCCCACTTGGTGCAAGTGTTTCCCAGCGACTCTCAAGGGAATCGCACAGCAATGGTTCGGCAACCTGCCGACTGGTTGTGTAAACAGCTTCAGGACGCTTGCTTACTTATATGCCTCCAACTTCGCCATGAACATCCCTGCGAAGAAAACGACCCTTGATTTGGGAACAATTCAGCAGGGCGAGAAGGAGGGGCTTCGTTCTTACATCAGGCGGTTCAACCTGATGAGAATACAGATTCAAGGGTTACCGGATGAGGTAGCTTATACTGACTTTTTTAGAGGTCTCAAAGACGGGTCTACCTTCAAATTTGATTTAGTTCGAAAAAGGGTGGCGACTCTTCAAGAGGCCTTGATTGAAGCAGAAGCCTATATACAGGCGACTGATCTGTGTACGATAAAACAGTCGGACGGGAAAAAGGTTCGACAAAAGAGAAGGACGACAGAAACAGTCGTCTAACAAAGAAGAGAAAAGAAAAGAGGTCTGGGCGGTTGATTCCTCTAAACAGCCGGCCCAGAAAAAGAAAAAAGAATTCAAACCATACTCCCCAAAGTATGTGTTTAACAAGGATAACCAGTTTATCCTAAAAGAAATAAAGGGACGGTTCTCAATTGAGAAGCCGGTCCCCATGAAGGGTTCTGCAAACAACCGGAACCAAGACAAAATCTGTGCTTATCATGATGACGTTGGTCATCACACCAATGACTGCATCAGTCTCATGCGGTACCTAGACCGCTTGGCTGAGCAAGGTGATCTTGACACTTATGTCAAGAAATCTACGGGGAACACTTCCTCAAAAAAGCAGTCGGCCAAAAAGAATCAACAGGCCGACAGTTCCGATACAGATGATGCAGTCGTCTACACCCATTGCAGGCGGCTTCTCAGGAGGCGGCCCCACTATTAGGGGCAACAAAGATAATATAAGGCGGTTAGATGTAAATTCCGTTCACCAAGAACGGCCGTCCAAATATACATTTCCTGAGATTGTCATCACTTAAGAGGATCTGGGAGGGGTAAGGGGGCCGCATGACGACCCTCTCGTTATTGAATGTAAAGTGGCCAACCAGAGAGTTGGCCGAATCCTCATAGATACCGGGAGCTCCTCAGATCTCATCAGCAGCAAATGTCTGTCAAAACTGAAATATCAGACGGACTGCATACATCCGGCCTCCCACCCTTTAATAGGGTTTGGAGGAGGAGTCGTCCACCCGCTGGGACGAGTAGATTTACCCATTCGCTTGGGCGAAAAAGGGGAAGGACGACACATGGTAGTCCGGTTCCTAGTAGTAGAGGAACTCTCGGCCTACAACATGATTCTGGGTCGACCAACCCTGAATAATTCCAAGGCTGTTATAATCCCGTCTTTTATGCTGCTTAAGTTTGAGAGGGATAATGGAACAGTCGGCTCCCTAAGGGGAGATCAGAGGATGGCCCGAGAGTGCTATCTCTCGGATGTCAAGCCCACTGTTATGGCCACTGGGTCAAGTGGAGAAAAAACAGACCTTGACAATGTCAAGGAGAGTGCGCCTGTTCAAGAAACAGGCGACAAAAAGAGAAAGGCGTCCCAGACAGAGTCCGCAAGAAAAGCAAGAAAATAGCAATCATTGGCGGAGGAGCGGCCGGATGAGTTCCGCCCTCAGCCGGCTGGTGAGCATGCGGACCTGATCTTAGACGACTCACGTCCTGACCGAACAGTCAAAGTTGGGACGACTGCTCTGAGAAACCTTGGTGACGACTTTCACAACCTATTGAAAGAATACAAGGACATCTTTGCATTTGAAGTCCATGAAATGCCAGGCATTAGTCCTGATCTGGCAGTACATAAACTCGCTGTGGATCCGAAAAAGAAGCCGGTACGGCAAAAGAAGCGGAACCATGGCGAAGAAAGAAGTCAGGCGGCAGCCGCCGAAGTTAAAAAATTACTTGATGCAGGGTTCATTCGGCAATGTTACTTCCCAGACTGGGTTGCAAATGTGGTGCTTGTTAAAAAGCCGAATGGCACCTGGCGAATGTGTGTAGACTACACAGACTTAAACAAGGCGTGCCCCAAAGACAGTTACCCTCTGCCTAAAATTGATAACCTGGTCGACTCAACAGCGGGTCATGCCTTGATGAGTTTTATGGACGCCTATTCTGGTTTCCATCAAATTCCCTTATGGAAGAAAGATCAGGAGAAGACGGCCTTCGTCACTGATCAGGGGTTATACTGTTACACGGTCATGCCGTTTGGTCTTAAGAATGCCCCGGCTACCTTCCAACGAATGATAAACACAGTGTTCTTTGATCAGATTGGAAGAAACGTCGAGGCATATATTGATGATATGATTGTCAAGACTAAACTTCAGAAAGATCATCTGACGGACCTCCGAGAAACTTTCGCCACACTCAGGCGGCACCATGTCATGCTCAATCCCAAGAAATGTGTATTTGGAGTTGAGTCTGGGAAATTTCTCGGATTCCTTATCAATCAGAGAGGAATAGAGGCGAACCCTGAGAAGGTGCAGGCGGTCATTGACATGCAGTCGCCTCGTACCATCCGAGAGGTTTAGAAGTTAACAGGTTGTCTGGCGGCCTTGGGGAGATTCCTAAGCCGATCAGGCGAGAAATGCCTATACTTTTTCCAGGCAATTAAGAAAAAGGCAAGGTTTGAATGGGGGCCGGATGCTGAGGCCGCCTTCCAGAAATTAAAAGTTCACTTGCATTCCTTGCCGAGGCTGGTCAGCCCTTTGCCCAAAGAGGATCTCTACATGTACCTGGCCGTCTCTGATCATGCGTTAAGCGCTGTGCTCCTTGCTGAAAGGGACGGCTGTCAGCTCCCGGTCTACTTTGTCAGTCACGTACTGAAAAATGCCGAGTTGAGGTATCCCCTAGTGGAGAAATTTGGTCTTGCACTCTTCATGGCTGTTAAAAAATTGAAGCCCTACTTTTTGGCACATGCAGTCGTCGTGTATACCGACCAACCAATCAAGCGGCCCCTTACCATCATGGAGTCGTCAGGACGAATGATCAAATGGGCCATAGAAATACAGAGCCTCGAAGTTACTTTCGAGCCTAGAAAAGCAGTGAAGGGGCAAGCCTTTGCTGACTTTATTGTAGAGATGACTCGTCCTCCTGACTCTCAAGTTCCAGACCAAGTCTAGAAGGTATATGTGGACGGAAGCTCTACTTCAAATGGTTGTGGAGCAGGCGTCGTATGTCAATCTCCAG